CCTCCCTGGAGAGATCAGGCCAGAGTCTTTTGTCCTCACTGGCGCCAGGAAAGAAGGTAATGTTAGCCCCCCTTTCCTGCCCCATATTTAAGGGAATCAGAGTGGAGGCATCTTGGTAAACAGATGAGGGGGGAGGGGCTGGGCCAGGCAGGAGGGTGGGGTTGCTTCCTGCGCTATGATGCTGCAGGCCCGTGTGTGGGGATGCTGGCATGGGAGGGCATGGTCTCCTCTTGCAGAGTAGTCTTAGGGCAAATTCCCTGCTCCAGAAAGATGGGAACTGGGACCTCCATTCTCTCTACCCCCTCGTCCCCCTGGCAGCCATTCCACCTCGGTCTCAGAGCCAAGAAAGACTCAAAGAAAACATCAGGGTATTTTGGAAAGAGAAGAGCAGGGACTTTAAGAAATCTGGGTCCTGTGTGACCTTGGGTAATAACATAACTCTCTCTGGGCCTCAATTTCATCTTTTTGCTTTTTATAAAAGCACGAAAAACTACTAGCATCTGTATTGTCATACTCCAGGATACTGTCAGAGTCCCTGGCCCCACTTCTACAGGGCTCAGCTGGCCCTGGGGCCTGGGACAGCTATCTGATCCCCGAATGTTCTGGAAAGGTTTGCTCCAAACTGAGAGGAAGGCTGGACTAGATGATCTGAAAGGCTTCCTCGGGATCCAGTTCTGATGTTCTGATTCTCAAGGGGATGGGGAGGGTAGGAAGCAGGTGCCTGGGGGAGGGATGCTCACATGGCATCTTGTGCACACCCTGGCTGGCACCTGCTGGCAAATCAGGGGTGGAGGGGCACTCCATCTGGCTCACACCTGAAGGGCTGGTCTCAGGGCTCACACACATTCCTCCAGGCTGGGGAGCAAGCCTGCCTCTAGGTCAGACATGGAAGACCAGGTAGGAAGACACAGAGGCAGGCCCAGGAGTCTGGACTTCTGGCCCCTGGGGGTTTTGAGCTTGGACTTTGGCCTGCTCCCTTTCTTACCATGTGTGAGAGGTAGACCTTCTCATTCCCCTGTGTCTTGGAGGCCAGTTGAGCTGAAAGAGACATAAAAGGAGCACCTTGAAGCTAGGAGTAGCCAGGAATAGCCTGCAGCTGCTCCCAGAGAGGTGGACTGGCCTTTCTGCACCTGGGAGCAGGGTCTTCTCAGAGGGAGCTGGCAGGCAGGTTGGGCAGAGGAGCCCCTTTCAGCTCAGTACGTGGAGATCACCTGGCGAGGGCCTGAAACTGGCTGGGGAAATAAATCTGTGTGCTAAGGTTGTTGCTTCTCAAACCTTTTTTTCTTTTCTTTTGAGACAGAGTCTTGCTTTGTCACCCTCGGTAGAGAGCCATGGCATCACAGCTCACAGCAAGCTCAATCTCTTTGGGGCTTAAGTGATTTTCTTGCCTACAGGCGCCTGCTACAATGTCTGGCTATATTTTTGTTGCAGTTGTCATTGTTGTTTAGCTGGCCTGGGCTGGGTTCAAACCCTCCAGCCTCAGTGCCTGTTCCTGGCTCAGTAACTGCTGTGCTACAAGGCAGTGAGCCTGCTTCTCAAATCTTAATTGGCATACAGGATCCTTTGGAAATTTTGTTACAATGCAGATTCTAACTCAGTAGGTTGGGCTGGGGCCTGAGAGTCTGCATTTCTAATAGGCTAGCAGGGGACCGCAGTTTGAGAGGCAGGGTGCTAAGCAGCTCTGAGATTGTCACTAGGAATGGCCCCACCCTATGTGCTCCCTTCTGAACTTCTCTAAGGGGTGCTGGGCAGATAGGTAAAGCTGATATCTCATTCCTTTTTTTTTGAGACAGAGTCTCAAGCTGTTGCTCTGGGTAGAGTGCCATGGCGTCACAGCTCACAGCAACCTCAAACTCTTGAGCTTAAGTGATTCTCTTGCCTCAGTCACCCAAGTAGCTAGGACTATGGACACCTGCCACAACGTCTGGCTATTTTTTTTTGTTGCAGTTGTCATTGTTGTTTTAGCTGGCCCGGGCCAGGTTCGAACCCGCCAGCCTTGGTGTATATGGCCGGCACCCTGACATCTCATTCTTGTGGTCACTCAGGGAGGAGACAGGAAGCAGCCCCAGGACCCCCTACCATACCCCCAGCAATCTTCAGGGATGACATTAAGACACTTTCCTGACATCCCCTCCACCTAGTTGTGCAAACACAGGGCAAGCTGCTCAATCACTCTGTGCCTCAGTTTCCTCCCCTGTAAATGGGTGTACTCTGCAGTGCTGTGGAGATTAAAGAAAATAAGAGGAGATTAGCAGCAAGAGCTGCAGACACTGCCTGGCACAGGTAACTCTTAGCACTGTTACTTCAGTTAATCCTTTTAACCTGTGCCATCCAGCACCAGAGCCATAAGTTACATGTGGCCTTTTGACTACTTCAAATTACTTTGGGTTTTGATGACTTAGTCTGAATGGATGTGAAATACGTATTATTAATATTTTTACATTGATTCCATGTTGAAATGATGATGTTTTGCCTATATTGTTAAAGAAACTATCAATATATTATTAAAATTAATGTCATTACTTTTTTTCATATGCTACTAGAAAATTTATGTATGTAATATTTATTTATTTATTATTTTTTGAGACAGAGTCTCACTATGTCACCCTCGGTAGAGTGCCATGGTGTCACAGCTCACAGCAACTTCAAACTCTTGAGCTTAAGTGATGAGCCTTAAGCGATGAGCTCTCTTGCCTCAGCCTCCCAAGTAGCTGGGACCACAGGTGCCTGCCACAATGCCTGGTTATTTTTGTTGTTGTTGTTGCAGTTGTCATTGTTGTTTAGCTGGCCCAGGTTGGGCTCGAACCCGAAAGCCTCGGTGCATGTGGCTTGTGCCGTACCACGGTGCTATGGGCACTGAGCCGTAGTATTTATTTTTTGATTTAACTTTTTTTGGTGGGGAAGATAAGGTCTCACTTTATTGCCCAGGCTAGAGTGCAGTGACATCATCATAACTCACTGTAGCCTCAAAGTCCTGAGCTGAAGTGATCCTCCTGCCTTAGCCTCCCGAGTAGCTGTGACTACAGGTGTGTGCCACCACACTCAATTACTTTTTACATTTTTTGTAGAGATGATGTCTCACTATTGCCCACCTGGTCTTGAACTCCTGGGCTTAAACTATCCTCCTCCCCCAGCCTCCCAAAGTGCTAGGATTGCAGGCATGAGCCACCATACCTGCTCATACTACAACATTTTAAATTACATTATGAGGCTGGTATGCTATTTCCGTTTGGTGTATATTGATGATTTAAGGAAACTGAGGCTCAAGGAAATTAGGTGACTTGCCTGCGGTCACATAGCCTTGTCTGAAGGGTGACAGAGCAGGGATTAGAAGTGAATCTAGGAAAGGGACTAAGCACCTTCAGAGACCCAGTGGCAGGAATGGGGCCACAATATCTGTCTTGCTAAGGTTTAAGTGCTCAGTCTTGCATTTCCCCTGGCAGTCAGTCCCCACACAGGGGCTGGCTCTGCACACACAGGACATGGATTCACTGGGAAGGATAGGGAGAGAAGTGACTAATGGGCTTGGATAGACAGGAAGAAGCTGAGAACCCCTCATGCTCTCACTTCTCTATCTGAATTGCTTCTTCCTAAGGTTGACTGCCTTAGTTTCCTTAGCAGAGAGGAGCAGGCTCCTAATGCCCATATCTCAGTGGCCTCCACTCACCTGCCCTTGCTCGCCTGCCTCCATCCCTCCATCCACCTGCCCTTGTTCACTTGCTTCCCACCCTCCATCCACCTGCCCTTGTTCACTTGCTTCCCACCCTCCATCCACCTGCCCTTGTTCACTTGCTTCCCACCCTCCATCCACCTGCCCTTGCTCGCCTGCCTCCCACCCTCTGCCCACCTGCCCTTGGTTACCTTCCTTTCTCCAGCGGAGCGCACGGCTTCCCAGGGCGATCAGGCCTGTGGCCAGCAGAAGGGTAAACAACACCAGGACCGGGGCCAACATGCGGACCATGGGGATGGACACCCTGGGGGCAAGATGCAAGAGCCCAGTGGCTGTCACCAGATAAGCCAGAGTTTATGTCCTTTGGGGTCCCAGGCATGGGTCAAGAAAGCTACCTCTAGCGACTAACACTTGAAGAGATTAAGCACAGAAGTTTGGGAAGCTCTCCATGGCCTATAC